ACAATTTTTTAAGCACTTAAAAGAAAACGATGAATTCATGGCCTTTAAAAGTAAATAAACAATTAAATGAACAAAAAATAAAAATGTATAAAAATAAATTAATTCTAGAAAAAAATCAGCAACAATAGCATTAGCTTAATTTCGTTTACTGTCCGAAAAAAATACGTCACATAGCGTCCTGCATAGTTTAGTTTTCTTTCACGCATTAAGTTTTTAGAATATTTTATTGCGTAATCTAATTTCCTTTTCATTCCCCGAATACGTTGGAAACTATTTGGACATGTGTTGTGACTTGAGGTAGAAACTGTTTCTCATAACGCTATTATGAAAAGAGAAATGTAGAACACTTTCGTTTGAGACCGCGAATAACCATAAAATGCACACTGGACAATATTAAAAGAACTGTCAATAAAATTTCACTATTCTCCGTAAAGAGCTTGGAAGACCTGCAATATTTTCGCGAGATAGCACAGTTACAATGTGGGTTTGGAAGTGACAGATAAGACTTATTAACAAAATTACCGAAGATGAGAAATCACATTGATTTTCAGTGTGCCTTCAAAACAAAACAGCTCTGATGATGGTGGTCTAATTCAAAATTTGAAAACTTAAGCTTATTTTATTTTTCTCCGCGTTATCTTTGTGTATAAATACAGATGACTAAGTAAGATTTCTGCACTTGCATTCCTGAAGGATCAAAACGCGTTGGCATAAAAGGTTTTCCGCCTTGTTTTTTTTTCTTTTATTTATATTGTATTTACGTGTATATTTGTGTCCAAATTTTTACACGTATGGCATAATATTAACAGACCTTTAGGGTGAGTTGCGAATATATATTTATCCACACCAGTGGGGTGCAGAGGGTGCGACGTCCCCAGGCATCCAATCAAAGAATGAAATAAAAATTTAGTTTATATTTAATTTGAATAAAGTGTTTATTTCATGTCTCATTTGTTTTTACTTATTTAAAATGTCTTTCCTTTTAACATTTCTAAGTACTAAGCCTTGTAGCCCCCCGCCTCGTACTTGAGTCTTAGGGGCATACAATTTAGGAGTTGGTCCCAGGCCTCACCAAATATCACCAAACCTCTGCACGTCACTTATCCAAACGTTTCCTTGAACAGAATATGGCACAAGGTCAAGTTGAAAGTGAGTTTATGGAACCAAAGACCCCCCACCCAAAAAAAATTGCATGGAGAGACGGTCTCTGTCATTCCGCTGGGAACTGTTTAAATAGAGGACGGAAAGTGTGACACTGAAATCAGAAGGCGTATTGGGATAGCCAAAGATGCAGCCCAAAAGCTAAGTCTTGTACTAAGAAATAGAAAAACTTCGCTAGAAATAAGGAAAAGAGTACTAAACTGTTACGTGATATCTGTCCTGTATGGCAGTGAGTGATGGGCAAGAAACTTGAAGCAACAGAGATGTGGTTCTACAGAAGGATGCTGAGGATTGAGGATACTATGGACCGAACTTGTGAGCCACGATGAAGTTTTAGAGAAAATGGAAACCAAAACGACACTTATACTCAACATCGGGAAGAGACAGTTGAAATTTCTGGGGCACATAATGAGGAAAGAGGGCTTGGAAAATCTGATACTCACAAGACAGATTGAAGGCAAGAGAGACAGAGCAAAACAACATACTTAGTGAGTTTGAGGAAATGGATGGCAGAAAAGGATTTAGGAGAAATAACAAAAAGACATCATTTAAGAGCTACAAGCGACAGGAAGTTGTGGAGAGCAATGATCGCCTACGTCCTGAAGAGACACTACACATAAACAAGACAGGGACTATAGAGAACACACCGAGTGCGCATGTCTTTCTAATGTAGCTTCAAGCTGTAAACAACGTAACAGTTTTTACTACTACTACTACAACTTCGAGAACTACCAATCCTCACATGAATGAATGAAAAACGAAAAGTCAGAAAGCTGTTACCCACAATATGAAATACTTTATTTTCCTCTATGACAGTAAACAACTTTAAATAGAAACACGAAGGAAAAAAAACAACGTTTGTTTTTTTTTTACTTTTTTTTTTAATTAAAAAAAAATAACATTACGTACGACTGATGTCATAAACAGTAAACTGTTCGCTCTTTCGTTGTTCTACTTAGGTTTCAATTCACACCCGCCTCTAATTTGTAAACAAGTGTATCTATTTCTTCTCGTCATTCACTAAGGAAAGCTGTAACCCACGTGTTTTATAAATTCACTAACATGATATTAGCGAGGACAAACAGGGATATTAAACTTTCAAAAATTGTTTAGTTACATGGTTAAGGAAATTGTGGAGGGCCATGATCGCCGACGCCCCGAAGAGACGCGGCACATAAGAGTTTGTCGTTAATTTAATATCATTGATTAATTTTTATTTGTATTCTATTTTTTTCTCTCTGTCCTTCCAGGACCTGAGACATTCTGTCTAGGAAAATTCATTTTTTTATATGTGAAGTAAAATCATGTCTTAAGAAAGATGGGGTCGTTTTCCATTACTTTATCTACGTTTCTGAATTCAGGCCAGTCTTTCTCCGAAACTAGCTGTTTCCCTCAAGGCAAGGGAACCAAGTCTACACTACTATTTTTAACTCATAGATGGAGGTATCACTGACTCTGTAATCATTATAGGTAATAAATGTTTTGATATATTAATTCATTCTACGTTTGGTATCATGGGCTGTAACATTGAAATAATTCCCAGTGAATTTCTGAAGTGAAATAATTTGAAATATACAGTGAAGATGTCAGAATCTTTGTGTATATCTAAAAGTCGGGTATAAATTTAAAAATGTAAAAGCTAAAATTTTGTTTATGAAAATATTTAATTCATTATTATAAATTAGATATTATATTACTTTAAAATGTATTTTTTTTATTTGTTTAATCTCATGTCCTTTCAGGATGAAGGCGATTATGACTCTCCACGGATTCCTTTTGATTATCTGTGAATTACCATGAATTCTTCGGAAAGACAGTGCAGAGGTTTTAAAGTCAGTGTTGTTCTATGTTGGCTGTCACCCAAGTCTAGACAACTCAGTCTCCTCTGTTATGTAACCTATAACTAAGGGGGTGGGGAATAAATTCATGCCTTTCCCAAGAGCATTAGTGCGAAAGTGAACGCAACACACTAGGTGAGAATTTGAACTCGGCTCGCCAATTTCACTTTTTGTGTCTATGGTTTGTAAACTTATAAGATGCTTTATTAATTGGGATTAACTGTTTGCAGCTAACGCACGTTTTATAATCGATTGTTCGTTTGTTTGCATAATGACATATCAATTCCTTATGGGTCATATAATGCCTAAATTTAATTTTCTTGGGAGTATTAGTAATTTCTTTTACAAAGATTTATTGCTAGTAATATCTTGATTTTTTTTTTTTTTTTTTTTTTTTACTATAAACTGTATTGCTGGCACATTCACAATAAAAATGTATTTCTACACTTTCATAGTGTTTTGATCCCAGTTTGGGGGTTCACTATTTGCCCAAACTTAGGACCCTAACAGGTAATACTACCCTGGGAACAAGAGCAATTAATTGGTGGTTCCACAACCGTCGAAACCTCCCGATCAGAGGACTTGCTGCCGGATGTAGTTTAACGTCATACCCAGGACGATTTACAATAGTACATCCCTGTATAGTTTTAACCTGAATTCAAGTATTGTTTGCAATTTTATCATAAGTGCATTTTCCTGTTATCTTGTATTCGTGTTGTAAAAAAATCTAACTGAACATGCCTGAATCCAAAGCGGATGTATCATACGAATAAAATACTTTGTAACTGACCTTAATTAATTTTTTGCACGCAGATTAAAAATATGAAGAAAAGTTTATCTTATCTTGCCTACGAAGTGAGTAGTAAAATGTGGGAAAAATAAACAACACTTAGTTCATTCTTTTAATTCGAATCTAAAGCAAACCTGCAGAGAAAACTAATTTTTTTAAAAATAAATACCAACAATTTATAGTTATTTCTGTCTGAATTTCTGGGAAGAAGAATTATTATTTACATGTGGACTATTATCTCCATTTCTTTTTTCTTTTTTCTTTTCTTTTATTCACAACGTTTCGGTCGTTGTGTCCCCCGTCTTTCATCAGGTGCCTTAACAATCCGGTTAACCTACAGGGGAATTTCTAACTAAACTCTTTATTTAATCTTCGTGGGTAGATTGTTCTTTTTCCACTGCCTATGTCTAGGAATATCACGTTTCGTTCTTATATAGACCTGCTCAGTTATTTCTCGCCCCGTTTTATTTATGCCAACGACGAAATGATGTCAATATCAAAAAAGTACAAAATGTTAAAAAATACCTGCGAAGTGTTTTTTTTTTTTTTTTTAACTGATGACGGAAAATGGGACACAGAGATCCGATGACTCATTGGAATAGCAAAAGATGCTTTCCAAAAGCTATACAAAATATTAAGAAACAGAAAAAATTCAGACAATTGGTTAACTGCTATATAATGTATTTATATGGCAGTAAATGCTGGACAATTTCCTGTCATATGAAGGATTTGAAGCAACAGAGATGTGAGTCTACAGAAGGAAGCTGAGAATGCCATGGATAGAGTATGTAAACAATGAAGGTTTTTAGGAAAATAGAAACAAAAAGGACATTTCTACTTAGAATTAGAAAGAAGCAGTATCAATTCCTATGACACATAATGAAGAAAGTAGGCTTGGAAAATTTAGCACTCTCAAGACAGGAAACCGCGAATAACGAGATTTTGTAAATGGATGGCAGAACGGAATGGGAGGGATAGTAAAAAAAAAAAAAGTACAAGAAGTAGAGGGTCATGATTGCCCTCGTCTTGAAGGGACACTGCATAAGCTAAGCAGTATAATTATTTTTTTAGTTGTCCTTCGTTAAAAACTAAATTTCTCAGCAAAAACGTTTGTATGATGAAAAAAGATGTTCATTAGGTGTTCTTAAAGAAAAAATAAATGAAAATAATGAGAGTAAATTTAAAAAATTGATTTTTAAAAAGTTACTTACAGAGTCGTTTGAGGCTGTTTAAATTGTTGACGTTGTTAGCGTTGGCGCTTGCGTTAGCGTTCAACGCTAATTCTTTCATGTTTTCGTTTGTATTATTTGGTAGCAGAGTTGATAAAAAATTGCGCTGTGTTCTAAGCAGGTTCGAAAGTCGTTTATGAGTGAATTTGGGGTCTGTTCTTGATTTATATACGATATCTCTCGCTTGTTTACGATAAGCACATGGTAGGCTTATGACGTCATGACTACGGGTTTTGCTGATTGGTCGGAAGAGGGACAGACAGAAACTCAAACCCACGGTGGATGAGTAGTTTATCACAGAGCGTATAATTTTTCTCATTCTTCTTCTTCTCTTCTCTTTTTGTATTGACAACTGCAGTAGAAAAAGAAATACTTGCATAAAAATGATAGATTCATTTCTTGAAGTAGTGCTACAAAAGGTCGATACTACAATACATAGTAGCAGACGATCATTACTTTCAAATAGTGACTAAGTAAGTGTAACGTAGAACACTGTCATTCAGTCAGTAAAAAACCTAACATATTTTTCACATTGATTTCCTTTTATAATTATTATGACGGATGATATCCATTTTCATTATCTGACGACTTCTAAAGATTACGAAAGATATTCCTAAGCGAAGGTGCTGTGTTTCCATGAAAAACAAATGCATAAATAAAGTTAGATAATATTTTAAAACCGAAGTAAATTATTGTAGTCTTGTTGAAGGTACACATTTCCTTTCCGAAAAGATTTTCAAAGAAAAGTTTTATTTGAAACGAGAATTGCCGCTATAAGAAATTCTAGTAAAGATCTATTAAGCATATGACACAAGCAAACGAACTGTGTGTTCGTTTGCTGGAGTCATAAGCATAATAAAGTTTGCATCATGTAACAGTAACACTAACAGTTAACAACGAAACAATTTTAGGTACACATGTACGGGAGCATCGTAGGTACTCTAAGCAGAAAGTAAACAGTCGGACAGTCAACATGCAACATCTCGTGAAAACTGCGTGATTTTCCTATCACGTTTTTGGGACGAATGGTGAACATGAAAATCCGAAGGACAAAAGTGGGATTGATTATATTTATTTTTCAATGTTTATTAATGATTATTTAATGAAAGATAAAGAATATTATAAAAGGAACGCAAATAATACAAAAATCTAATAATAATAATATATCTATATGGTGCAATAAATTGTTTATTAGGCAAAAATGAAAATAACATTGACATCTCATTTTAACAGATATATTTACCAAAAATATCTTTAAACCTAAAGAGTAAATTTATTCAATAAAATCGCCATTGGCTTTAACCACGGTCTCCAAACGATTTAATTATCCCTCACCGCTAGCACGACTCGGAGTTTCATCCACAACGCAATCTTCAGGTGCTAAGTATGAACTAAACGTTACGTAATTTGAATTGTAATATATCCGGTCATAACAATTTTGACATCGTTATATATTATGCTGGGATTACAGTATTTTTTTTAAAATTATATTTGGCAATTAAAATAAGCGGAATATAGATGTATGTAAGAAAAAATAATAAAATTTAAAAAAATTATTTTTGAGTTGTAAATAATCATTTTTTTTAATTTTAAAAAGTTTTTAATTAAAGAGATTTAAGAGAAATATTTACCAAAAATATCTTTAAACCTTATCTAAAAAAAAATAAGCATTAATTTGTATTCAAAATAAATAGTAATTTACATTACAAATTAAAAATGAATGTGGATCAACTTATTTAAACAGATATTTATTTTTATGCCTATATGTAACCATCAATTCAATTCTCTTGTTTAATAAGCTCGGATGATTTAAGAGTTTTACGATAACCAGTTTGTCAACAAGATAGAAGGTACATTTATTTCATTTGCTCATAAGATTGGGCTCTTGCTATAATATTCCAGTTAATAGAAGAGAAACTATTATTATTTTTAATTGCCAGAAATATTTTAAGATAGTGGTGCTGTTTCTGTATTTTATATTATCTAAAGTCATTCACTGACGGTAAAGACGAAATTTCGAAGTGATCGAGCTTACGTTCAGATAACGATCTTAAATTTTATTTTGGTTTCGACCCATTCACGCTCGATGAACGCAAAACAACATTCAAAGATTTTGCCAATAACAAATCTCCAGGTCTTGACAGCATACCAAAATTATTGTGGCAAGATCCAATATTACATGACCTCCTCTTTGAGTTTTGCAACCACACATTCATGCACCATTTGCCGCTTTCAGCTTGGCTGAAGGGCGGAAGAGTCCCCCCCCCCAAAAAAAGGGGTGATCTAACAAGTGCGGCAAACTGTAGGGGTATAACTTTCATGCCAATTGCAGCAAAGGTTTACAACAAGTTTCTACTAAATAGGATTGTTTCAACCATTGATCCACTCGTCCACAAGAACCAGAATGGATTTAGAAGAGGCTGGTCGGCAACTCCTCGAATTCTCTCCATTCGCCTCATCCTGGAAGAGATGAAAAATTCAACAAAGAGATCACAATCTGTTTTGTCGACTTTCGCAAGGCATTTGATTCCATCAATAGAGATCTCATGTTCAAAATCCTCCAAATCTATGGTATACCCTACAGAATTTTTGAGGCAATTAGAGCTCTCTACAGAAATACTATTGTATCGCCTGATGACGTGACTGATTCCTTTGAAGTTAAAGCAGGAGTTCTACAAGGCGACACGCTTGCTTTTTTTCTGTTTATCGTCGTTCTGGACTATGTTCTTCATATTTCCCTCGACGACATGGAGGAAAAAGGACTCCTTTTGAAACATCGCTAGAGTAGTCGGCACACTCCATAATACAGGAAAAACCTTGAATTTGCCGATGATCTTGCATTAATTTCTCAATGTATCAATGATGCAGAATCCTTGCTGCAATCACTAGAGCAAGTAGAGAACCAGTTAAGTCTCTATTGCCATGTGAGTAATACAGAATATATTACAATCTCCCCATAACCATCCGAGTTGAAGTCATTCAGTAATGCATCCATCAGTTGAGGACTTCAAATATCTTGGATCTCACATAATAGATTCTCCCAAAACGTCAACATCTGCAAAGCTCTTGGATGGGATACGTGTAACAAACTTCACAAAATTTGGTACTCGAAACTTCGATCCTCTTTAAAAGTCCAAACATTTCGAACACTGATTAAACTGTATGGATCAGAAACTTGGACATTATATGTTTGTCTTTAAAGATGACTGGAAATCTGCTTAGAAAAATCAAGAACATCAGGTGGAGATTCCATGCAATGCTTAAAACAATTTACGGACAACTGAGACCAACCTCTCTTAAGCTCAAACAAAAGCGATTACAGCTTGCCGCCCACAGCCATTGAGCGGACGGGGAGGTCGTCTCATCCTTCCTCCTATAACATCCTAATGAGGGGTTATTCTTACGAAAGTTGACTTTCAAAGACACCCTGGTTCGGGACACAGTGTTGGACATTTGGAATCTGTAGACGGCAATGCAGGACCAAGCAATGTGGAATGGGATTGCTAATGGAGTTCCGATCAACCACAGGTCCAAGGAGGATGATGATGTTTTTGGTTACGCATAACAAAGCATATATCTTCTTTTTTTCTTTTTTTTTAAGAACAATGCGTATTGTAACCAAATCAAACACTCTCTAAATATTTTTATTATTTAAAAGAAATTAATAAAACCCCCACCGTAAAATGGAAAATATTAAAAAAGAACGAGAATTTGTAAGTCCTTAAATGACCCATGCCACCTGTGTCTACATGAAAAGCTGCATATTATTAAGTTTCCTAAAAATAATGATCTCATACATCAGCGAAATGAATTAACAGTAATTTGTAGGCATTGTATAATATTTACTTTAAAATATAATAGAATTTTTCATTAAAAATCTATGCATTACAATTATATATCCATTATTTTATTAATATATAATGTTCCATATAATATTTATTTAATTCTTTGATTTTTCAACTTTAATATTGCCATAGTTTATTGCTCATTCAATATAATAAGTATTCTATTTTGGGTTCAAAATAATATGATTTAATTACACTAGAGACCCCTTTAAGATAGTTCTCAAGTATTTTTTTTTTTTAATCTTGAATTTTAAAAAAATTAACCTTTTGCTAAATATATCTTTCGGTCTACTTCGTCTGTACCTTAAAAGTGTCAATTCACCTAGGCATGAATCAATAACCCACCTATCTCTAACTTCTAATCTAATTTCTCACTTTTCCATTTTAGCTTTGATACTTCTTTTGATTGGTTAACCAGAACATACCCGCAAAATTTTGCAATTTTGGTTCCCCCTCCTCCATCCTTTTTAACTCTCAAATAAGCTACCGAATTGTTTTCTGATTTCACAAGTAAATCATTTTCATCATAAGTTAACCAACATCGCCTGAAAATAGAATAATTTTTAAGTTCCAAAACGTAGAACTTTTTTGTGTTGCGATGTAAGATATTTTATAATAAAATTATTATTATAATATATAAGCGTGTGACCTAGGTTTGCAAACTCATATTCATACAACTGAATATGTTAGTTAGCTCTATCACTGATATTGAACACTTTCCATTAAGAACCGTGCATATATAATATATATAGAAATTATGTTTTGAACAATGAAAAATATTAAAAAAAATTATATTTATCAGAGACACTGGGTTGTATATTAATTTTTTTGTTTTATTATTTCAATTAGGTTCCTTGACTAGTTTCAGCTAGCATGGTCATCGTCAGGAGAGAAAAAATCGGCTTGTTAGTAGCACTGAACTACAAGAGTGAATGACTGTTTCTGAAGAAAACTATCTTTATCTGTAGTTTTCATTTGTTTTTGTTTTTTTGTTTTTGTTTATCGTTAATTTTGGTCGGCCCTTGTATTGGTGAAACGGCCTCTTTCAAGTTGGTTTTAAGATAGAGGCTGAGGAGATTCATTAATCACAGGATTTCTTTCTTGATCTTTTTGACAGTTTTATTGGTTACTGGGAGGGGGGAAGTGTGTTAAGTGTATGTTATCTTTTAATTCTTCGGGTGTGTGTATATGTGTAAGTCTTTATATTGGTATGAGT